CCATCATTTATGATACACTGGTCTTGACAACAAATAATTAATTTCTGAGAAAACTGGAACATTAAAGCTGACTGTTGAACCATAACTGCTTTTCTTCTACAGGCAAAAAACAGAAAGAAAGACATTTCACTTTCACATATCTGTGGAATATAAATGCCATGCAGCTGTTCTTAATACAGTTTCTCTGGCAGTGCCACAAGAGTCCCATTTCATTTCACACTCATATGGATACATGGAGGTGAGAACTTAGTTATTGTGAAGTGGTGCAAGTCATTTTTGTTCAGGTTCAGTCGCAGGTTGGAATCTTTTCCTACAAGTGGAAGTCATGCAATGAGAAGTTATGGAGGAAAAAAACATTGTTATCAGAGACACAGCCTCCAGATTTAAAGGATTTCTTAGTCTTTGGCTGGATAAATCTTTACCTCCCCAATATCTGTTCCTCTCCGGTCAGTGGAGCGGGTATTTGATGTTGGTGTGAATTGATGCCACCGAATTTAAGAGAAATATCTTGGCTATGAGTCTGTTTAAGCTCTGCAGGACCCTCAATTTTCCTCAAGCCAAATACTCACTCTCTTTAAGTAACTATGGCACATACCTACACTAAGGCCCAATAGTCCCCTTAAATTCAAACATCAAATTGCACAGACCTGAAGAAATTAGTCCACAAAATTGTCCTACGTTACTTCATTAAGATCCATGAATTCTTCCCTGGGAAATCAGTAATGATTGCCCTACGTTAAAGAAAACAATTATTCCTACCCCTGCTGCAGATCTGATCCTAAATTTAATTGGTTCTTCCCTGACATATATCACATCCTTCCACCAAGTTCTGTGGTAATCTGTCCAACCTTTTTTGCATAATCTTGTTTACAAACAAACAAATCAATGAACAAATGGACAGGAGTGAAAAAATTACCTCCTTGGTGGAGGCTAATAATGTAATATGACCCGTTTAACTTGACCGCTACACATAAACAAGGTCAAGATGAATAAAAGCCATGTCTGAGATATAACAATCAATTTGTAAATCAGGATTCATATTAACATACTCCTCGTGTATATGGCATTACACATGACAGTGATCTGACCGTCTGTGCGGAACGTGAAGGAGTGTTCCTGACAATTTAACTCTCATGGCTGAGTCGATACCTCTTTTGTGGTTAGACCTTAAGCTAGTTGGAAAATCTTTTATCCCATAATGAGCATGAAATGTCAGCGCCAAAAGATATAGAGCTGGCATTTAATCTGCACCGAGGAACAATAATCCAATTGACAAGAGCTCTGATAAAGACAGAATGAATGTACTGTAGCTCCGGGATGGATGACAGACATGAAAAGTTGTCAAACTGAAGAGGAGCTGTGTCCACATTTTATTTTTTTTATTTTGCTTGTTAGTGGGGTGAATTTGGACATATAGTTGGGCCAACTTAAAAAGAAAATTCAATTGATTTTTTCAAATTAAAGTTGTCAATTGTGTTTGTATAACTTGTTAACATTGATTTGAAAAACGTTAATTCCTTTGTGAACAATTTCCTTTATTCAGTCAGAATTGTACAATGAATTGAAATATATTGCAGTAGAGACACAGTTTTCTCATGCAGTCCAAAGAAATGACGACTGATGATTGCCACACGATGACTGGCTTTGAAAGGTGATGGATAGAGATTCTAATATTTGTACAGATAAACATGAAAACAGCAACTGCTTTGCCTGTTGAAGCTTGTGATGGTATCATGTTTACTTTGTTGAATGTTGAATGTAAGCTCTGACAGGTGTTTCTCAGCAACCAATGTTGTACATTAGTGGGTTTTTAAGAGGCAACAGTCGACAAGCAGCATATCATTTTTGGCACAGTCTTATCCTCGATATTTTTACGAGTTTTGGATCACAAT